CCAAATGCTGTTATGTATAGAACAATTTTTTCAATTAAGTGAAAAACTATTATGCATGCGACTGAAGAAAAATACTAATAAATTAAAAAAAACAAAGACCTGGGTACTTATATCCACAGAAGTTCATGCTGACCTACCATCTATCATCGGCAGCTTTTGTGGGAATGGTAGTAATTCCAAAATTTCAATTATAAGGTTAAGAAATAGAAAAAAAAAAGAAAAATATTAGATTACAGATCATAACCACCCTTGTAACTTACATGAGATAATACACCCAAAGGAATATAAATGCAAATACTGCATACATAATGGAACCATAATACTTTCCTGCATGGTTTAATACATGTAATAAGTAATATAACCTTCCAACCTACAACCATAGAATAAATATTATATAGTTATGGTTGCAAAATATAAAAATAAATCACCCTACCTATATGAATATATATATATGGTTTTCAGTTATAATACTTATTACTATATTTTTATTATATGGCTTAATACATTATTGTTGAAAATTGTTCGTCTTAAAACATTCACTTACAAATTCTCTGCAAAACTTTAAAAGAGAACACAATCTCTAATGAGTTTGTCCAATTTGTTGATTTTAACTAGTTTAGAAAATAAGCAATTCTGGGCATACGAAAACAGTAAAGTTCTTTCCAGCAATATCAATTATATCTAAACTGCTTTTATTTCTAAGCATATTGCTAGATATCAATGGTTTAGATAACAAGATAATATCTTATATCCAGTAAAACCTTTTAAAATAATATATTTTTTATAATTATTCAGTCTGTTAGTCTTACCATGGCAGCATATCCTCGGATCACATGTCTCTGTTTGAGATTGCTTTCTCCATCAAGGTTAGCTGTTTCTATGAAACATAACCCTTGGTCATCACTAGACCTCAGCAGCAATATATCAGCAGGAATGACTTCATTACAAGAAAGATGCACTATATCTCCTACTTGTACATGTTTCCACAAAGTTTTCACATACCGGCTGTCTTCCCTTTGAACAATTATAGGAAAAGTCTTTATTTATTGAAACTACAACACCTATATCTGTTTTACTAATACAGTAAGGGTATTCACTCTTAATTAAGTCTACTAAAATGGTGAGACAACAAACTTCACTTAACAAAAAGCCAAATAATTCTCTTAAAAACTTTAACTTTTAAAGGAGAAAATTAGATTGAATTAACTTAAAAAATAAAATTACAATACAGGATGGTCCAAAATTATCTTTCTTATTTTAAGTTGTAATAATTAAATAACTAAGGAAATACAACCATGCAATTTTAAACACCTTTACTAACATGTCAATAGATTTCTACATGTGTACCATTAGTGGCTTTCAGCACATCTAACCGATATTCAATTTCAGTTCGTGTTTGCTACAACATGCCCACAGTTACAGTGGCAATGGCATCCATTATCCTTGTCTTTAGCTCTGTGATGTTTGCTACAAGTGTGAGATACACAATATCCTTAACATTCCCCCAAAGAAAGAAGTCTAGTGGAGTCCACAGAATTGGCTCACCTAGACCAATCCATCACCTCAAAACTGTCTTATCTTGAAAGTATTGTACCAGTAAACTCCAGTAAGGTAGAGCAACATCCTGTTCAAGGATTATCCGTGGTTTCATTTCCTCAAGTTGTGTGACCACAAATTGTTCCACCATGTCAAGGTAAACATTCCTGGTAACAGTGCTCTCAGCAAACAAGAAAGGCTCAATAATCTGAGATTGCACCACACATTCACCTTTGGGCTATCATACACAATTTCAATGGTGTCATGGAGGTTTTCCGAGACACCAATGTGGACATTATAACTATTGATGGTATGAAATGTCGCCTCATCACTAAACAGTACATGAACTAGAAAGGTGTTGTCTTCATCTATGTGGTCAAGGAGATTCACTGCAAGTGTCTTACACATTGGTCTGTCATCTGGTTGCAGTGCCTGTACCAACTGAAGTTTGTAGGAATGCAGATTAAATCACTTGTGAATGATACAGAGCAGAGATGGTTTTTGTATGTTAAGTTCTCTTGAAGCATGCCCAAGCAATTTTCGAGGGTAATGCTGAAATAATTCACATATTTGTTCGATTCATTCATCACTGACAGAGGGCCTTCCAGCTCTAACTGTAACATGTTGCCTGTCTCTAAGAACTTCTTCATACACTCTTGGATAGTTGGTTTCAATGGTGGTTCTTTCCTGCACTGGCATCTGTAGTTACGGCGCACCACAGTCATTGACTTGGTCTTTGCACGCCAAACAATGCATTGAGCCTTTTTTTACACAGTGCCATTATTCAGGGTAACACTAATTACTGGTCTGAAAAAAAGACATGAAAATAAAAAGTGTTTGAGTTTTGCAACGAGATATTGAAATCTCTAAGGCTGTATTTCCTTAGTTATTTAATTATCAAATTTTGAAATAGGAAATAAAATTTTGGGCTACCCTGTATTTTCTTAGTTATGAATTCATGTAGTAATTCAAATAATATTGATAATTTTAACTAATGGATCCTTTTGACTTAGAAAAATTTTGTTTTATTTTCTCTATATAATATACATCTATCTCAGTATATACATATGTATGACAAAGTCATTTACAATCTACTTCTTTAGAGATATGGCCAGTGTAAAGCTTAAGGACATCCTTAGTTATGCATTTCTTTAAGTTCTGACTATAATTTTCACAACTTTTTAGAAGCTCTAAAATAAACAATACCATCTACCTATTTTTTTGCCACATATCCAAAACAGTGCCCTATACTAGCTTTTTTACATAAGAATCTTTGACTTCTAGACCCAAAAATACAGGTGCCAGAACCATAAATTTAGTGATCTCCAGCAGTAAAATATTTAAACAAATATTTACCTAAACCACATACAAAGTATTATCTAGTGATGCAAAGAAACAGTTAAAGCCGAGTGATTAACTTGATTAATCAATATAATTGATTACCTATGAACATTGATTAAATAAATAGTGTTGTGTAAGTTAATCAGTTAATCAAAAATTTTATTAAATTTATTAATATCATGAAAATAATCAACTGATCAATACAAGTTTTCTGGTTATTACCATTTTCAAGTAATCAAAACATTGCCATTATGATTTTAGATTAATTCAAGGTTGTTCAGCTTACTCAATTAGTGTCGCAACTCTGAAAATAATAAATTAATCGATACTAATGCTTCTGATTATTGCTATTTTCAACTATTTAAATGTAACTGACTAATGAGCCCCAAAGATTAGTTGATTAGAAAAGTTCACTAATCTTCCAGATATAGTCACAATCCACGATAAGAATGTGCAGTTCACTGGACCAGAAAGTAAAATTAACTTGTTGTTGTGAAATACTACAGCACATCATAGGCTTGACTACTTACTTTATGTACTTTTAAAAGCTACTTGTTATTATCACAGTTACAATAATTAACTAAAGTTACTGAACTTATGGTTAAATAAACTTTCTCAAAAACAAAAATACCAAAATTTTAGCATAGGAAGATGATACTGTAAAGATAAAAAATTTAATCAAACAAGGAAATAAAAGTTTGTGTTCTCAAACAAATATGTTAAATTTTAATTAAGGTTTTTGGCATCAACTGAAAGCAATTTTTCTTAGAACCAAACAATTCTGTGTACTAGACAAAGAATACCAATCAATACTACATTTATATGTTACAGAAGCCTGATTTACTGCTTATTTATCTTAAATAACATCTCCTTTTTTAAACCAAGATACCACAATTACTGAAATTCTAGTAATATACTACTGTTGGTCCATGCATGCAAAATACCAGCTTGCCAAAATATTTATTATAACAACACATGGTTTACACAAGTTTTTTGCAGAATTCGGTTTTCTTAATTGCACTTACTTAGCCTGTATTATGCATAATTTTGCTTTAGTAGGACCTTGACCAAAAGTCATAGTGATTTGTTTTTAAACCATAGTCAGGTTCAACCATACATACTAACTTAAAAAATGACTAAAGTATTTAAATACCAACATGAAATATATTTGATTTTGTGCACTTAAACTTTTGTCTACTATTGCAAAATAAATTCACTCTGTAATGTTGTCACATAATAACAATAATAGTTATTTCAGAATGGCAAGGATGTATTAATTCACAAACAACAAACCATCTGTAATTCAGTTTCACAATCCCTACTTTAAAACATAAAATTAAGTAGAATTTAATTAGACTATGTCCAATAGTTCTTGCCGAAATGGCACCCGAATGAAGCAATCAGCATACTCAGTTTCTTCACTCTAAACAAGTATCACCTAATCAGTAGATGTTCAGAACTAGTTTTCACATGGTTGACAGATTTTACCCCAAAAATCTCCTACATCACCCCTTCTTTTAAGAACTAGTGGTAGTACAAAATATTTTCTTAAATTTTACTTGAAAAAGCTATTGGAAATAACATTTCATTCATTGACTCCATAAAAAATAGCCAAGGGCTTTTTCTTTCTTTTAAATGTAAGCATTTGCAGCCATTTTAGTAAAAGTAAAAAAACATCAAAACTGTTTCAACATGGCTTTTTTTTATTTATTTAATCATTTACAATTACTTTATAGCTTCAGTTCAAAGGTTTAATTGTACTGGAAATCTTCAAAGTCAGTTTTAATTTTAGAAACATTAAGAGGGGAAGGGGGTATTTTGCTTTCTATTACAATGAAAGTGGTTCAATTTCCATATATTTGTCAAATTGGAAAAAAATCTCTGCATCATATCAAAATTGTGATTGATATGTTTATGCTAAAAAGAAATCTATGTGAAAGTTTCTATAAATAAACATAAGAACTTGTGAAACTAAAGAAGAATATAATAATATGTCAACCATACTAAACCTGCTATATCCAATTGGATGAGAAGCTATTTATTTCACATTAATATAATGTAGTTCACACATCATCATGATAAAAGAGGTATGATGAGTTCACGTGTATGTTTTCACTAGGTGGGCAATTTTTCGAATCCCATTCCCCCTTACAAATGTACCAGAATTTTAAAGTAACTTTTCATCTGTGAATTTAAATATGCATCCTTCATGTATGTAACATTTTACTAAATAAAAATTCACAAAACTTAATTTTGCTAATAACACTATTACCATTACTTGGCACTTGTTCAGTTGGCAAATGGGTTTTTTCCAACTAAAAATCCTCCTTGCTTTATCTTACATTTTGATTGTTTTTTTTTGGAGTAATTACACGTAAATTCAGATAAGTTAGCATAGCTATCCAATTTTTTTACTATTCAACTTCTTTACTGTTTAAATATGGTCTATAGTTTGCCACATTAAAACATATGTAAAGATGTTGTTGTTTTTATAGATAATTAAAAAAAACATTTTAAATAAAATCTGGTTATTTTAATAAAATGGTAACACATGAACACTTCTAAACAAATATATTTCAAATAACACTAGAATCCAGTGTTAATTATATATATGCAAATTTTAAATTTTATGTAATTCGCTAAATGTTCAATTTCTACAGCGTATAAAAATATTTCAACCTTTCATATACCTGTAAGAAAAGATGTACATTATCCTCATCCCTCAATCCACAGTTATTCCATTTAACATATATGTTCTTAGTTTATATAGGACCCATATGTAAAAAAAGTTCAACTATAAAAATCAATATAAATGAGTCCAAAATTACCAAATGGTAACCTTATAACCAGAATAGAAATACAAACATTTAATATTTATACTGCTACACACATATACATGCATATGCAAAGTGAGATCAACAATGCAGCTAACAAACAACACACATGTTAGCAGAGAATTCTAAGTAGCAAAGGCCACCTTCACTGCAAGTGCCAATGACCTCAATAAAAACTCAGGTACTGCAGGGAAAAGCTTCACCAGTGACCCATATGAATACCACACCTGGATTTCACACAAGCTTGGTTGGTACAGGTATCATGAAAACATGTACAGTTATGCCTATTACGGCATGTTACTA